TGTTGTCTTCTTCTTTGCCATGGAATCTTGAATTGAAAAATGATGAAAGAAACAAATGAAATATTAAGGAGCTGGAAGCTTCCCTACCAAAGAACAAACTACATGTTACGTGTGGAGGTACGTTAAGATTAACGTACGTAGTCAATCCATATTAACTAATTAATGTTTGGAGTATTTCAAATTTGACTTTGGTTCTTTTTTACTTTATTCATTTCAATTTCTTTTTTAATGCGTTTAAGTGGGCGTTTCGACATGAATTCCGAAAAAAAAAAAAACAAATTTGGAATTTCACTAAAATTTGAATTGAAGATGAAGTTGTGTTTGGTTATAATTTTTGCAATATATTTGGATGTCTTTTTTTTCAAAATCATGAAACATGATTTATACCTCATAACTTGTAAAAAATATCAAAACTACCCCAATTTGATTATCCTACTTGAAATAAACAATCAAAATACTATTGTTTAACTGTTATCATATTCTGCTTTACTGCAATGTACAAAAGAAGCAAAATCAATATCACATTTTTTAATTCTACTAACACACAGAAAAGGTGCAAGAGCAGGCATAGCCACATCAGTCATAACCATATAATCTCATAAGTTATAACCATATAATCAAACTTCCAGTAGGCATAGTTCAAGTATCAACTAGGACTGATGTTCCACCATCAGTCGCCAAAGATGAAAAACTAATGGGATCATTTTATAAATTTTAAAAATATAGGGTAAATTTATAAAATTAAAAACTAGCAAATTCTCAGCCAGTTTTTCAAATTTGGAAACTGATTTTCAAGTGAAAAGGGAAAAATTAGTAAGAATGGGATAACCAAATATTATTTTCAAAAAAAAATTGAAAAAAAAAGGAAAAAAATTGTATGTCCAAACGGGCTCCAAGAGGAGGGGAAAAAATCATAAATAGCCTGATTTGCAACTGGTAATTGAAAATTAGTCACAATTTCAAAAGTAATCAAAATTTAGTTACTTTTTCATATAAAGATAAAATCTGAACAAAAACACTCTTAAAAATCCAAAAAAAGAGAGAGCATAATATGCTAGAGTTCGAATTTTTTGCATATGAAATTCTAATATAATATGCTGGAATTTCATAATGTGCTGGAGTTCCAACATAATACGCTAGAAGTTTATACTCATGAGTCAGGAGCTCCATAATTCAGCATATTATGCTGAAATTTTTCTTGTTTCAACTAAGGTATTTTTTGTCCAGATTTTATTTCCGCATAAAATAGTGGCTATTTTCCAATGATTTTGCAAACGATGACTATTTTTCGATTATCAATCCGAAAACTGACTAGCCCCGTGCTATTTGTTCTCTCTTTATAAATATATGGACGCACTTAGCTTATATTATCATGGTTTTGTTCATAGGTATTATTAGGTCATATTTTCAACCAGAAAGCGTAGGACAAATTTTGGTAGAAGGTAGTTGACATTTAGATGTAGGAGAAAACCATATGTGAATTAAGAAGACATTTACCAAATTGAATAATGTGAAACCTAGCTACTTATGCTTGAAAAAATACTTGCACAAACACACACATAGGAGAGAAGGATATGGGAAGCTAATCCTTTAAAAAAATAATTTAGTAATTTTATATAAAGTAGTGGCAAATACACCTAAAAGGTTATAACAAAGTCCTCTCTCGTGATAATAACGTTAATCTTTAATATTATTTAATAGTTTTGGCTTCATCCAAATTCAACGGCCATTTGACATTATATTTAAGTTTCTAGAACATTTCTCATAATAGTGTTTCATTGTTTATTAGTAGATTAAAGTTGGTAACAACTTTTCGGTATGCATTGTGGAGAATGGATTATATAAATAGGACTAAAAGAAATTTGGACGAAAATGTTCAAACCAATTTGATAATTTATTTTTTGAAAAGGGAGAAATACAACAGGTAACCAATAATAAATTTCTCATATTTGTCACCAAGCCGCCGTTTACCAATACAAGTTACTACTATCTCGTTGTGGTTCTTATCAATAACTTTTATAAACCTAAATTGTGTAAATTTTGTATGAATTAAAATGTGCCCTCTGACAATTAAAAGCGGAGGTTAGCTTGGAAATACCATCAATCATCAATAGATAATTCAATTTTCAATTTCATTTCCACTGTTTCCTTAAGTTCCTTTTTTCTTTTTCTTTTTTTNTATGGGCCTACAGTATATGACCTATATTTGGGCCTGGACTATACCAGCTTTTCCTAACATGGACACTTTCTTGGGTGGAAATGGCATGGGGTGGCCAGTTTTTAAGATGCTATTTAGTATTTGGCCAGCAATTTCAATGCTAAGCATATATATCCACTATTTTGTTGTTAGTAATGTATATGAATAGACGTTTTTATCCTTTCTTCATCTCTTTTCTTTTCAACCCTTTTTCATTATCAAAATCTCAAAACCCTCGCTTCTCTCCGACACTAAAACTTTCGTTTCTTCTCTTAAAATTTGGATATATAAAATCAATTGGGTGTTCAAAATATTTGTTAGGAAACACCTTTGTGAGTTGATTCTACAGATTTGGACCATTTGTGATCTAATTTGCTAGGGTTTGTCGAAAATTTGCGAAGCCGATTTTGGAGAAGACGACCACCTGGGGTTTGTTGATTTCGTGAAAATTGAATCAAATTAGCTATTGGGATGTGTTTGTACTGCTATTGGAAAGTTGTGTTCCTTACTTGAGTTTGTTTTGTGGGGATTAAACGAGAATCAAATTCAATTTCTGAAAACTTCTAGACATTAAGCAAAACAAGTAAACGTTAGGACATAATTTTCTAAACATCCTGAAATATTGAACTAGGAATCTAGTATTGAGGATAAACGTTTCTGAAATGTCCTTAACTTTTGGACATTAAGCGAACCATGTCTTTAATATTTGCGCACACTCATGAAATTAAGGACACTATGTCCTTAACATTTACATTGCATATATGAAGTTGAGGATGTCCTAAAATTTAACAACATATAGTGCAAATACAGGGACACTTTACCCTTAATATTTACACAACACTCATGAAGTTAAGGACATTGTGCCCTTAATATTTACACAACACTCATGAAGTTAAGGACACCATGTCCTTAACATTTACACTCCACGTATGAAGTTAAGGACATGATGTCCTAAAGTTTAAAACAGAAGGTGCTAATTCAGGACACTTTGTCCTTAATATTTACACAACACTCATGAAGTTAAGGACACCATGTCTAGCACAGGGGTATTTTTGTCCGGGCAGGTAAAAATTTTATTAAAGCGCTGGCTAAAGAATAAATACATTTTAAACAGTTGTTAAAGAGTAAATACAATTCTAATTAGTTACTAACTGTGCACTTCCCCCCTTTATTGGGAGATTTAAAATAAAAAGGATTATGGATTATTTTCATTTTAGCCCACGCTAGAAATTATTTACATTTGGCAGTCGAAAAAGTGTATAAGATTTGTATAATTTATATATATATATATATGTATGTATATGTATATATGTATGTATGTATATATATATATATATGTATGTATGTATGTATTACTTGAATGATCCTATGGTTGAGCGGCAGAGATAGCGGCAAGAGCAATCAAAATCGGTAAAGTTAAGGCAATCTGGGAAGACTTCATGTTGTATTGAACATAGCTAGCTATCCTGTAGCATAACACACAAAATCTACCAGGTTATCCTAATTTTAATATTACGAACAAAAGTGTAAAAGAATATCAGATGTATAGTAGGCAAGTTATGACAAAATAGTAGGATTTTATATTTTATTCTATCTTGTTGGGTAACTACAAACTCTATCATATTGTTATGTTTCTCCGACGGTACCTTAAACAAACAGTTGTAACAAAAAGGTAGAACTTTTCTTATATTGATCACTAATGGGGTGTAGCCCGAGCTCTGCACGGGCCCAATGTCAAGGTACTCCGAAATTCTTAAATATGCATAATCTACTATTCATAATTGAAAATTTTATCCTTTTAGTCGGTAAAATTTTCACCAGCAAACACCTGCTGCCATCACGGTTCAGTTCCAACACAAAGCTCTCAAGTTAGAACTTGGAGGGTTGATAAATCAGTGAAATTTACAGAATATGGAACATAATGCACATGGTCACTACCACTTTCATCTAAAACAATTCACACTTACATTGAGAAAACGATATTATTCCTATCATTTTCATTGTTCTGTCTCTAGTGGAATTTGTTGGCGAGATGGCATTGCCTTTTGATCGGACTCTTTGTCCGAATAAGAAGGTTATTCTCAGAACAAATGGGAGCTCTGGCAAATTACTTAAAAACAGTCTGACTATTTGCTATTTTCTTTACACAACCTGGTCCTCTTATCCACTACTCGTTGGTGGTTAACCAATTTCAAGCGTGTGCTTTCCAGTATGTGATGTAGTTATCATCCAGCTTCATGGGTGCGCTCTTTATTCCTGAAATACTGTGCAGGCTAGGCTAGGGTAGTTCTTTTGTTCTGAATGTGATGTAGGCATACCTCTTTTATCCACTGATGTTCGCGTTCAAGTATGCAAGTAATTTTACAAAAAAGTTTGCAATCAGCTTATCCTGTAAAGCAGAGTAGTCACACGTATAACTGGGAGTACCTGCAAAGAGAAAAAGGAGCAAACATTTTACAAACATAGGCACATGTGCTGAAAAATAACACTTGCTATATTAACTTTTTTTCCAACTGTATATACACCAAAATACAAAGGTAAATATGGGAAAAATTCTACGAATCACTTATTTATGAGACAAAATTAACAATTTAAGCCATCTGATAAAAAATTAAAGGCAAAAAAATATACTTTGGAACAAAGTGTGCACTTCGAGGATTTGCATCAATTAAATGACAAAGAGAACAAACTGAAGAAGATTCATAATAAGCACATATGGTCAAGCGCAAACCATTCAAGCAGTCATAGAAGGACAAGAAGAAGTGAGAACCCAGTAGAAGCACTTATAACCCAAACCCGCAGAAACCGAAGTAAACCGAGAAACACACAAGTTTAGCTGAGGCTTTGATCAGAGGGAAAAGGACTAAAGCAGAAAGAGAAATTTTCTCAAACACCTAGTAAGAGAGTGGAGAAGAAAAATACAGAATTAAGAATTAGATGCAAACAAAACCTAGAGAACGAACAAGAATAACAGAATTGGTACCGAGCAAAAGCACAAATAAGAGAAAAAAATGCAACCAAACTGTATGTGTAAAAATGGGGGAGGACGTGTGCTACCAACACGGGCAAATGGAAAGAGCTCTGTGTGTGTAAAACAGGCAGCACTTGAAATGCATGTTGATGCGTTGTGCATATTTACTATGTCCAGAATTGTGCAAGATGTGTCATCTAAGAAAAGATTAGTCTTTTACAGGCTCAATCTGTTATCCAAGTCGGAGATGGTTTAACGGAAAACAAATTATAAATGTCAAATCTACGAAAACAGAAAAAGGCACAAAGTGGATGCAAATAGTTTAAATATGCAATCAGATATATTAGATCCGCTTAGGAACAAAAATGGAATTCAAATGATACAGTTGCACCATATGGTAGAAGCGAATGCCTTCGTAATGGTAGGACCAAAAATATATGGCTCAGAATTAAACTCTTGCAAGCGCGCAACCTCTATAGCATTCTCAGACAGAATATGCATTGGAAGTTGGTTCAAGCATCCTATATATTGATGGTTGAAAAGTCAGTAGAAAAGACAAACGAAACAGGAATAGCGCTTGATCACCCAAGCCCATTAAATCCAGCTCATATAACACATGTGACGGTAGAGTAAACAATAATACACCAAGAAATACAGCATCATCTACTCATTTATTTACTGTAATTTTGAATTTTTTTTAACTAAATTTGCTAGTTTGCCTCTGTAATAGATAAATGGAAGAATGTGAAAACTAAAAAGAAATAGATAAGTGGAAGAAAAGGGAGAGTATGAATTAGCGGAGAACAATTAGGAACCACGGGAATAAAGTTAATAATATAGTGCGGACAACATTACAGAGCTAAGAACACTAAAAGTTTGTTTGCTCAACTACTGAAGGATTACATGCACCAAATCCCCTAAGCATTCACAATTATAAAGATAAAAATATGTATGCTTTCTTACCTTCAGAGGGTCAATACTAAGTAGAAAATAGTGACAAAAAACTTCCACAGAACCAACTGTCCAAAATCGTGAGGTATTTCCTTTGGTAAGCAAAGTGTCCAATTGCAATGGTGTCAAATGATTTGAACAGCTTGGACATTTACATTAACACTTATTGTACTTTTTCATTTTATTTTTGTAAGCACACTCTGTGCATCTTACTAATAGGAGTAGCAAGAGTACATAGTCCTTCATATGGAGGTTGTTGTGCTATAATGTGTATAACTGGGAGGAAAAAAACCAACACAACGAAAGAATTGAATAAGATTATCAAGTATAGACGATATCCTCAAATAATGGTAACGATGAAATTGGAAAAAATTAGAAAGTCAATAAGTCAACCATGTACTAAATAGATTCTTCATAGTGCTTATATATAGATTGCATTGTGAAAACAATCATACTGTGTTGACATCTCAAGCTCCAAAGATGAACCAAACAAACCAAAAAATGGATATATAGCTTATGATATTTGTAGAACTTTGGAGGAAAAGGATAATTTCAAATGGATGAACACTTAATCACACAAGTTTGATTGTGGATTAATAAACCCTCCTCCTTTATCGGGGCTTGGGACTGCTGTGTTGTAGTATAACTGAAATATAGGCGGAGTTAAAATTTTGGTCATTCAGTTCTTCAGGTAGAGTTCATAGGAAATTCTATTATAACAAAGTTTTTGGTGGAATAAGGCTCAATATGATAGAATTAACACTTAAGTACAATAAACCCACACAGATGTTCCACTTTAATTGATGCTTCAGCATACTTAAAACGAAAAGGAAGAGTAGAGGACATTCACCTATATGAGGCTGTACAGTAAAAAATAAGCTGTATATTTATGAGCACTTGTTTGGTTCTTTGGAATCCATCAATTATGCCAGTTCAAGTTTCCTTTTTACCTGTAAATATTTCCATCTGAAGTTCTCAATGAGATGTTTAAAAATATCACAGAATACTCTATCTATTAAAAATTCTATCTATTACCCACCAAATTAAGTTCTATCACCGCACATAATTTATCTAAAATCAAAATTAGCAGCCCGTTCTCCTCCCAAGCGGAACAAGAAATTAAATTGATAAACAAATAATAAACATTTAGTAAAAACTCTGATTCATTCAAGAATTTTCTCAAACACCTAAAGAGCAAAGACAACTCCACATATTAAACTTTCTGTGCAGCAAAAGTCTAGCATCCCATGAAAGATGGCAGAGAGAAACAAAAGATAAGAAGAAGCAACTCACAGGAAAATAATAATCGAAACGAAAAATTCGGCAAAGTGTACAGCTAACAACAAGAAGAGCGAGGGGAGAGAAGGTCGCAGTCACAAAGGAGTTTGAAGATTGTTAAACTTTTCAGATGTTGCTAGATTGATACACAAAGCGTTAAAATTGGACGTATCTCAGTGCTCCCCTCCTAACCATATTCTTCTAGGAAAAAACTATTTACTGCCAAGACTATAGAATTGAACCCAATTATTCCACAGTCAAGAAATTCAACCCAAAACAATAGTAGAAATCTAGAAAAAGGCTTAATTCATTCAATAATTGCCTCGAACACCTAAAGAACAAAGGCGATTGAGACATTAAACTTTCTGTGCAGCAAAGCCCAAACATGCCATCAAAGATTAAATAGTGAAACACAAGATGAGAAGAAGAAAACTCACAAGAAACAATGATCCAAAGAGGAAAATTTGCGAAACTTTAAAGATAAGATCAAGGAATTTACAGACAGCGGAGCTTTTGAACTATTGCTAGATTGGTACAAATCGCTGCATTTGTAATAATCTTGGTATTAACCTTTTAATGCAGAGAACGCTGCGTCTGTCACGTTTCTCAAATTAAGGCATAAGGACAATATTACCCTTATAAAGACTAGGCAGACATGTCGTCCAGGTGCTTGCTAACTCCCCTTTATTAGATAGTAGAAAAATATCATTTGGTAGGGAACTCTATCAAATTACCGGATTATCATGTTTCACCAATAGTACCTCATTTACTGTTATAAAAAGTTAAGACAAAAAAGTAGAACTTTTACCTATATTGATCATATCAAGAATTCTCTACTAGATTGTCATGTTTCACCAATGATACCTTATTTAAAGTTATACAGTTATGACGAAAAAGTAGTACTTTTAACTATACTAGACGGTAATTGCCCGTGCCAGCACGGGCCCAATAGTATAAAAGTTGTAACTTTTATTTTTAATCAACTTCATTTTGATATGAGAATCAAGAGAACTAAATTAGTCGGTAGTAATTAACATACTTTCTAAACAGTGTCATGCATCTTTGTTTGTACTTCATTATACCATAAGCTCAAATTTAGCATGCTCCAAAGAGCTCCTGCCAGTAAAAGAGTGCGAGTACACACGAATACACCACACATAGCTGCACAACATGCAAGAAATACATTAGAATCAGAAACCTCCTTCCACTCAAAATTTATTTCACTAATATAACAAAATTATACCAGACACATGGAAAAAGGGGTAGCTGTAGACAAACCCCAATAACTGTATCCTGCCATTAAGGAATTCGAGAGTAGCCGGCACATAGACATAATGAACGCAAGGAATTCACTCATCATGGTTTATCTCTTCATTTTCATTTTTCATGAAAAAAATAAAAGGTCTTTATGGAGCAAGTGTACAATTGCATATTGACTATTTGATATGAACTTACTTTCACCTTTATTAATCAGCATACTTCTTCTCTAGTACTCTATCATTATTGCAGCAGTTGCGACACTTTTTTCTCCAAGTCGTCTTCTTTTCCCTTGCTCTTTTTTCTAGCACTTAGATGCATTATTGAGGTAATTATTCTTCTTTGTTATCTTGTACTTCTTGTACCCTGACTTCCATATTTCATCAGAATTAGGCAAAACAACAGAAAACGAACATATTTCATCAAAAAAAAAACTATTAAATGTGCAAATCAGGAATATTTACTGATATGTATGTAAAAACTCTAGCAACAATTATGCAAAACAGCAAAAAACCAACATTTACCAACTAAAATTTAGATTAGCAATAGAAGAAGTGCAATATACCAAAAAAAAATGCACAAACAACTAACTATATTAAAGAGCTCGCAGCAAATTCAAATAGAACAAAAATGGATAAACTATCTGCAATTGCCAACAGGAGAATTCACAGAGAAGTCAAGAAGTAAAGGGGAAAATAAAGAGGTATACAGGTGAATAGACGATGGAGATGAAACAATGAAAAGGCTCTGCAGGTCATGGCGCTTACTCAGCAAATTTTAGGCTACCTGTACCAATCAAATGGCATGGAAGATAAAATTATACTAAATTACCTCAAAATAGTGTCCTCATAAGTAAAGTTAGTAGTTGTTTGGGTACTCGAAAATCGATAAGCCCATCCATCAGGTAGTTTAGCACCACAAACCTTTACAAGACCATATTCGCGTCCCACGTCGAGAATATCAGGTCTGTCTTCACCACCAGTAATCATACACACAAGTGACTGAAATTGTTGTCTACTGAGGGAATCCCCAATAAAAGCCAGAGTTCCATTTTCCATCCTGGACGCACAACCAAGTTCAGTAAATTCCATGTATGTAAAACCAATTAAATATCACCTGATGAATTGAAGAAGGGAGAGAGCAGCGCCATATTCTATGTAACAATAAAATTTAGACACTGAAAAATAGTGCAAACAGAATCATCTATTTTCAGACATTATGATGTAGAGAGAGAGCATGCACTACATAGGGGAGCTTCACAGTCACAAATTCTTGCAGTTAATATGAGATATATGTTCTAATCTCTTTGGTTTACTCAAGCTTACATTTCTGCCCTTGGAAAATACATTACAAGCCATGGTAGGTACAATACTATTTATTCCAGACAGATGAAGAGAGAAGGTTTTAATAGATTTCGGAAGAAATTTTCTAAGGTTAGATATCCCCGGCATCAGAAAGTAATCAATTACAGAAAAAGGAATCCGTACCTTTTCAGGAAGTTAACACCAGTAAACTCTTCCATCTCTCAATCTCTTGGTCTACAACGTAGTTTCTCATATTCAAAATCCATACGTTGTGTCAAGCGGCAAGCCCACATGGCTGACAACATTGCTTGCAGCCAAATCCAGAATATAGAGGCCTACTATCATCTGTGACCAATCTACCTTTAGCAAAGTTACAACATGGAAATTAAGATAAAGGTATTAGTAACCAATATCGTACTAACCATTGTATCAAATTCACCAGCAAATTTCAGGATAGGCCAATTGGTAAGCAAGGCCTTTTTTTAAGATTATCCATAACCCAAGAAAGGGTGATTATAATTGGAAAAAGAAGGAAATTAGGTATTTGTTCAACGACAATGTAATCAAATCCGTCAATATTTGACTTCCATGAACATTAGAAGTTTACAAACTTCTGAGGCAGATGTCAAATTTTCTATAGGGCTGTCTGCAGAATTCACTGGAGCAGCAACTTCATTTACATGTTCTCTTGAACTACTTTTTTCTTCGAAAGCTCCTTTTAAATATCCTTTTTGGGCAGAGCTGGGAGGAATACCCCCACTTCCTGAAAAACACCATTAAAACATCACGCGGTAGAGACTACATATTGCTTGACCTCAATAACATCTCAGGATACAAAGATATTATAAAACATGAATAGGTGCGGAAGTTTCTTTTATGCAGAGAAACAGACACTTTGGCAAATAAAATCAAGTAGAGGAGTTGAAGCAACATATTCAGTACACAGTAAGCAGATTAGGATCTATTTATTCATACAACTCAGGAAAAGGAAGCTTCTCTTTCTTTTAATTTGAAGGACTGAAAACAGACACATTGACGTATGACGCAAAGAAAGAAAGGGACTTTACTATGGCACTAATTTTTCATAATTTGAGGCACACATAAAAGATTAAAGATTGTAATCAAACATACCATACCTTCTATCTCAGTATTAGTAATTAGTTCTTCGGTCACCTTATCCTTTGTAGTGGACTCCTTAGTAGGTGAATTTGGAATGGTGGGTTCAAAGTTCACGCTTTCTTCTGATTTCTCTATTCTATTTCGTTCTCTTAAAACTTCTTCATCTTTCACTGTATAATCTACAAGAGAACAAAGAATAAATAAGTAACTTAACAGGATTCAACAACGTTTCCATCAAGTTCTATTTACTATGTCATAATAATGCTGTCCTTTTCGGTTTGTCCCAAAATAGTTACTCATGTTAAAGAGGAAAGTTCCTTCCTCAACATTTAAACTGGTGCCAAATACATATTACATTATATTGTTTCAAACTTAATGTGACACCTTACCTGTTGCGGAAGCCAAATGTATTTATGGTGAATAAGTCACAACTACTATACCAAAAATTATGACAGCCACCAAATAATAAATAAGACAATAAAGCAACAATAAAGGAAACACCATAATTTACGAGGTTCGGCTAATTTTGCCTACTCCTCGGACACAACCAATATTTTATTTCACTCAAAAAATACAAGTGAAATAATACTAAAGAGAGAAGATACAAATGCCTTAAACAGATGAGAAGGCAAATGAGAGGTGTGTTTAAATCCTAAACATTAGGCCTTCTTTTATAGGGAAAATTTCCCAACCAAATGGCTAACCCACCGATGTGGGACTTTGCCAAATTCAACAAATCTCCACCTTGGCAAAATTACACATCTTCAATCGTCTCTCAATAAAAAAATTTGGTTGTGTCTTCATCTTCAATCTTCAGTGTTCAACAATGTTGATCAAATCCAAACAATGTTGAAACTTGACCGCAGTCACCACTTTTGTCAGCATATCAGCAGGATTCTCTGTAGTGTGAATTTTCTTCATCGTGACTCCACCTTATTCTATGATTTCTCGTACAAAATGATACCGAACATCAATGTGCTTCGTCCTTGCATGATAAACTNTTACCAACTAACATTTAATTTTTTCATATTTGAAACATTATGTTTAACACTTCCAAACAGATCCCACCAAATTGCATAAGACAACCTATCCAAACATCTCACTCTCAATAACAACAAAATATGTATCTTTAATGGGACATATCCATGGGGACTTTAATTTAGTAGCCATATTAGTTATTGCATAGTTGTTGAAGAAATAGATGATATCATTATTTACGGAGAAAAAGTTGAGAAAGAAAATTCATGATTTAGCACAAATGCACAACTCAGGTAGATCAACAAGTGGAGCAGGTATCCACAAGAGAGTATTCTTGTGGGATGTTAGCTGCTTCACTGAAGCCGGCATAGAGGTGGGTAACACTAAATATGACATTTTTCTTGCATTGTGATAACTCAACTTACCTCCCAAAGAGAGCTTTAGCGGCACATACATTACATGGTGACATAAAATGGTTATTTAAGTGATTTGTCAGTATATAAAAAATCAAGGAGAATAGATATCTCATCAGGCATTTCAAAATTTTATGAGACCAAAAAGGAAGCCAAAATTTCAATTCATTCTTCTTAGCACATATACTGTAATAGGATAGTGCCATGCATGAAACTCCTCTTACCAAGAAAGATTGTTTTTTTTTATATCATGTTCTGAAATTATATATTTAATTTGACAAACTATGACTGAAAATTAACTCTCGAAATGGAATACCATTTTGAAAGACAAAACAAATCCTGAAACAAATATCATAAAAAATTGTATGGATGAGAGCAGTATGCGAAAATATCACTTAATTTCAGTAGGCTCCATTTGGATTAGCTGTCTTAATCATTCAAGAGTCGTCCAAGATCTCCTGAACGGAAAGTCGCTTAAATATCCTTCACAAGATACTGGACAAACAAATATAACTACATCATGCGTCATTCTTCACAAAATTTATGCAAATAAATCTTCTAATAAGCTTATATGGCAGTGAGATACTTAGCTTCAGCAGAGACATCAGATGATATCTCTAATCAAACAATAGACTTCTTCTTCACCTAGTGATGGTTTCAGAAATTCATGAAATTTAGCAAATCAGACACAATTTATAGTTAATCTACAAGGAGCTTCTCCTTCGAGGACAAAGAGAACCAAGAATATATTTGACTTATCTAAAATTCTTTATACTGGATTTAAACTTTCAACCCCACTTTAAATTAATTGTGAAAAATCAGTTTCTTTCATTCGTGAAGAAGAAAAGGAAGACATGAAATCCAAATAGTTACAACCAAAATCCTCAAATCTCGCTCTGTAACTATAACTCTTTTGCTATGTGGTGAAAATAGAAAACAGGATAGAGGTGTAAATAACTTCAGGTGCTAACAGTGTCAAACATTTGCCGGCAATTTTCTATTTTCTCCCTTACCACCGAAAAATGGAAAAGACCAGGGATGCATAAGAAATTAAATAAGAAAACCAGTTCATTGAAGATTCTTTACTAAACACCTCCACATCAGAGGTTTTTACCTAAGGAATCGGAATAGAAAGAGATGGTAGGTCGGTTGCGGTCGTTGGCTCTGGAACAAACAACAACTATACGAAGATAATAGTAAAAAGCAATTAGCAACACACCGCAAGATAGAAACAAAGAGCCCTAGTCCCCATCATCGTTGCCAACCCAGCACACTGCCCATTGAACAGACAAATCAATGGTAATGAGCAATGGAGAAGGAAATAGAGCCAATCCAAGCGCAACGGAAGAACACAAAAGGAAGATGATGAAAATTATTTTGCCTAGTCTAGACTCTAGATGATGCACACAAGTAGGAAAGAGAGAGAGCGAAGGGAATGGGGAGACAGAGAGAGGATAGAGAGAGCCAGAAGGAGCATCGAGATAATAAGCCTAAAAAACGTGGCAAATCAGTTGCTGCGTAAGTATGCATAAACGAAAAGACTATATTACCCTTGATTTGAAATGTATTGCCACGACACACACACGTCGAAACTCTTTCTCTTCTATATAATAGAAATCTAGAACCTACTAAATCATTTAAGTGCAATATTTTCTTAGTCATTTATATGGTGGATCCACGTAGACAAAAAGGTGACAGAAACATGACATAGGCTAAAACAAACGATCTACAGTAATCTACAACACAGAAGATATATACTCATGAATTCTTATAAGCACATAAGAAAAAGATATCTAGCTTAATATTGCACAACAGACTGAAGCTCAACGGTTATTGACTTGACCTGTGCTCTCCCTCCGTCCAAGCAATATGTTCCTTTGGCGGCGCTCCAAATCTGAACTTGTATTTTACCTCCGTTTCAATATTTAAGTTGCCTGAATTCACTCTAAAACCCTGATAAGCATCATATTCTTTAATTAAGTAGCATATATTAAGTTTTTATCTTTTTGTTAACTTTCTTAATTTTTATCATGCTGTTATAACTTTTATTGAAGGAGGATATAAAGATTTATGTCATTGACTTTTAAAAGTTTGTACTTGTATCATGAGCTGGTATTTGTTTAATTATCCATATGTCGTTGACCGTTGTTTTTTGTGTTTGAATATTCCTTCTATATAGACTTGAGGCTATAACTGTTACGTCAAGGACTTTTTTTCTATGCGGGAATTATTAAAAAAGAAGAATGGTGCATGTGAGCACGTGATTTTTGCTTCACGAAAATTACTCCAAAAGAAATCTAAAATAAAACAAATCTCATCTGTGTACAATTTTGAGAATTTGCGTGACATTTAGTAATTATCTTTGCCCGCAAATATTTACCCTTGCTGTGATTAATTAAAAAATACAAAAATACATGTTGCACGCACATTCAAGATTTAAGTGTACATCTTGGAATTAATTGAGTCACGTTTTATGGAGAAAAAAAAAGAAAGAAAATTACAAAATATGCAGTTTTGTTGCGTTTTGTCAGTCATGTGTGCCGTTGTGTAATTTTGTTTTAAATTAATTAAATGTTTAGCCTTGTGTGACAATTGTTGTTAAGGTTTAACAGTGTTGTAGGATAATTTTGGTTTTACAAATTATTTTAGAATTTTATTGATTGTTAATTAAAAGTAAAAAGAAAAAGAGTTGAAAAAATGAAAACTCATATTAGGCCCAAAAATCAGGCCCAAAACCAAGACGCAGACCCAGTCCAAACGCCTTGTGCCCGGTCCATTCCCACAATCACTGGAACGACGTCGTTCTGCGGCAATCAATCCCAGCCGTCGACCTTACATGATCCAACGGCTCAGAATACGTCCCCCTTACCCGTTCCCTGAACCCGACCCGTTGCTCGGTTTGAACCGCCTCCCTACTTAAACCAAACGACGCCGTGTTGGTTAACTCCTTTAATCCTGGCCATTGATCTTGATTGATCCAGCGGCCAGGATTAAACCACCCACCCCGTAAGAACCCCAATCCCTCACCCCATGCCCCCAAACCAAACCCCCACTCACCTCCTGTTCATCATCGCCTCAGAGACGAACCCTACAAACCCTAGCCGCCTTAGGACTCCCCCACCGTAAACCCGGCAACCATGACGCCGATGACCACCAGACTAACACCCCTGAATCACCATGACCCCCTCTCTCCAAATCCACACTCAGTTTACCTCGAATCTTCCCCGAACGTCTCGAATCTTCATTCGAAGGTTCGAGCAAAAACCAGATCTACACCTACCGACCACAAATTCATACTACAACACCTCCTGACCTCCCTCACACCCTAAACGCCATTGGTTCCGTTCGAATCTGACCGGAGCTGGACGAATCCCAAATCAAACCACAAAGAACCCTAAAAGACCAAAAGTTGAGATCTGTCCAAATTAAAAGACGATGTGGGGTCTAATCGACTTTAGTCGAAGTGTTCTTAGTTGAGAACACTCGATTAAGGTCCATTCGACCTCCAAAATGGTCGAGTCCGAGCTCGAGCCTGGGACAGTTTGATTTCGAGTCCCTGAGGTAACTTTTCTCTTTCTTTTGTTCTTCTATGATTTTCATCCATTTTCATGTTTAGTTTAGTTTATTTTTTTTGATTTTTCTGACGAGCCTGTTGATCTCCAGACCTTTTATTTAGTCGAAACCCTCTTTTGTTCGTTGAATGTTCTTTAAACTATACAGTCAACACGAACAAGTTCATCGATTAGTTAGTTTCATATAAAGTCCCGGTTTAGCCCAAAGCCGCTGGAATCACCTGTTAACTTGTGTGTTTTTGTTGTTGTTTGTTATCTATTATAGCTTGTATAGTCGTTTAAATAAGTGTCGTCAATTAATTTGTTTAAAATTAGAGGATACATGATAGTAGTTCATTGATGTTCTCCATGTATGTTTACCAGTTCAGCATCTGCTATGCTAACTTGTAATGAACCCATTGAATATGTTCAGAACTAGACTGGTCGTTCATTTAGTAATCCCATGTTCTTCATAGTTGGCCATGGAAACCTGATTGTCACTGTTTCATCATTTGCTCCCTGTTGATTGTTTGATTTAAGTTGATCAGGATTGGTACTCAATTTGATCAACTTATTTCACCTGATTGACACCCCTTTGTGATCTGATTTTAAGTTGAACTTAGGCTGCGTATTGGATATAGCTGTAGAAATCTAGGAGATCAATCAGAAATCAGTGTTAAGCTTATATAGTTGGTAAGTTCAGACAAGTAAGGCTTAGGGTAATACATTAATATGCAGGGGTTAAGGGGTAATTTTGGGAGTTTAATAGGATTTTAACAGGTTGTAAAGCTAAGGTCTGCCTAGGGGTCATTTGTTAACCTTAGTTTAATTGTCAGTGGGGTGCATAACATGAGAGCATGGATTTATTTGAATACAATAATCCCTCCCATAACTCTTGATTAAAACAAATAGGGACAATGCATGCTAGCATGGGGAACCAAATAGTTTACATCAAGAAAAGACACTTAGGAGTGGGGAAGTAGAGGGTATGGGCAGAATTAATCTGGGAATCTCAAGGCAGGTTTGAGCAGGCCTGTTTTGGGCTATAAATAAAGTCATTTTTGATAAGGAGGGGGCTGGTCTTCCAACCTTTAGAAGGTTAGTTTATTTTCAGAGCATAGGCTGGATTTTTCACACAAAAAGTCCAGAGAATAGAGTTGAATAGGCTGGGGGTTTTTTTTACCCTAAGAAACTAAGTAATCAGAAAGTCATTCCTAGGCTGAAATTTTAAGAGAGATATAGAGTGAGATTGGGCTGGAATTTGAACATAATTTCCAGGGATATTGAGGGTTTGAGGTCGCTTTACACCAAGAGCCTGGGGTTGTTTCTCCTTGAGGGTTCAAAAATCAGAAGCTACTATTTTCTTGCATCTGGTTCCTTCTCTGCTTTGCATTTGCTTGTTTTTGGTATTGCTGGGTTGCAAACTGGATTTCCTGTTGTGTTGTTGAATCTGTTACTGTTTGCTCTTGGGTGTTGCTGTTTGTTGCTGAATTTGTTGTTGCTGTTTGCACTACTGATTTTCCTCTCCTTCTTTTGCTTTCCTATACCAGGTATATGCCCTGAACTCGATGCGTGTTAACATCCAATTGAAATGAAATGAAATGGAGGCTTAATTTCAGTTGCATCTGCAGTTATTTCAACATTTGTTTTTTTGTAATCAATTGTGTTAATTTGGAGTGTTGTTTTGCTAAGAGTGATGTGAATGGACTGAATTCATATTTGTAATGGACTGTTAATTTATAGTTATCAGTTGTAGTTAGCATTTGATTTATGTTAGCATTTCTCTGTTTAAATTTTGAAAATCAGAAATAGCTTTAACTAAGGATTAGTCTGAATCGGAAGTTTAATTTGAGCTGTGATGTGCATTCACGTTAGTGACTGACTGCGTTCGTACAAAACCGGACTGAAATATGCTGTTAAAGTGACCTTAAGCCCAAACCAAACTGATAGCTGAAATTAGATTCAAA